TCGACGCTCAGTAGCTTGTGATTAATAGCACGCAGCTTGACTTGGCTTGGCGGCACCAGCAACAGCAATAGCAACAGGCACAGCACTGGTGTGTACGAGGCAACATGGCTCGTTTATTAAAACTGTCAAAGACTTGTGTGGACACGGTTTCTTTTTTCACGCCAATGATAAAAAGTTTACGCAAAAGCAATGGGAACAGATGTCCGTAAATGATTAAAAATGAGAGCAAAAATTTAACAAACTATGCTCCAATATCAGCTCAAATTATCAGGGCCTCAATGGCAGCGGACTGGTATATTTATTGTACTCATTCCCTCAGCTTCACGAATTTTATATTACCAATAAGATCACCAGTGCGAAACCTTAAGTCTGTTGCTTTTTTTCTTAATGCAATTTTAGTGCATTTCTTAAGAAAATTCTACGGCGATCTGATCTGTGATTTGACTGAAGTTCGGGACCTTGTGGAGGTGTGAAAATGGGTAAAAATTGGTTTCCTTAAATTCTATGTGTAGACCGAGCTCAATTTGAACACTTATTGTTTGGAGAATTTATATAATTTTTTATAATTGGCGGTTTGTAACCGCTGAAGCGATTTCCTTTAATTTGTGGTTTTACGTCTTGAATTTTTTGCAACAAATGGGGGGACCTACAGTTTATTCTAAGCCACCACCGAACGGCTGATGGGTTTTTATGAGGAGCTTTATTTGATGTCAAAAATAGACTCGTAAAGGTTGACATTCCCTTTCAAGGTGCGACCACAATAAGTAATAATATAATTTTCTATAAGCTTTTGGATGCTAGTTCGACAACGGAATCACTTGCAATGCATGAAGAGCAAGGATGAAGACATAGGTGGGACGTTAGGATACCTACTCTCAATACGGCTATCGCAATAAAACGGATATTCAAAGGACCCATCCGAATATAACCAACCATTTTGTGTAGAGTACATGGACAACACTGAAATACTTGCAAATCGCAGATAAAAAATCAACAAGTGCTCCTTTATATAAATCATATACATAAAATTAAAGCTTAAATGGCTTACATCGTTGGTTACTGGGGCTCTACTCTGCTACTCATGATATACAAATGTTTGAAAATTGTTTACTAAACAAATACCTGTCAAAATTCTTTTCAGGATAATCTTAAAGGAAACCATTCAACAAGTGACAATTTAAAAGAGAGTTCACTTGAAGATGAAGGTATTTCCAATGACTTTGGGTTCAAAAGATAATCCTTAAATTATAGTAAGTTTCTAAAAAGATTTAAATTAGAGTAAACATAATAATTAAAATAGAATTCAAATTTCATTCACATTTTTCAATGAGAAAAATTTCAAACTCTACAGGGATGTACTCTACATTCGGCAGAACGATAAGTTGTTAAATTTACAAAAACAAAATGGAAACAAAACGAATAGCGTACCAATAAAGACAGTGTGAGTGAGCGCTAATTTATTTATTGGATGAGTGCATAAGTTCGTGCCCGATTTCAAGTGCAAACTAAAATTGAAATTTTTTGAAGAAAGCGCTTTTATTAATCAATTATGTATTCGCCATCATGTTCGGCAATCCACTCCCAACGTTCAACCAATTTACGGATGCCTGATTCATAGAAATCGCGCGGTTTCTCGTTGAAAAAGGTGTCAAGGTGGTTTTTGACGTCTTCCACATTTTTAAATTTTTTTCCATTCAAATTGTTCTGCAGCGATCGAAACAAATGATAATCAGAAGGTGCAATGTCGGGTGAATATGGGGGATGCGGCATGATTTCCCAATTCATCTCCTTCAGTTTGGCCAGGGTCGGTTTTGCAACATGTGGCCTGGCGTTGTCATGATGGAAAAGAACTCCTTTGCGATTGGCCAAAATCGGACGTTTTTCATCAATTGCTTTCTTCAATTCGACCAATTGCTGACAATACTTGTTGGCAGTGATCGTTTCTCCAGCTGGCAAGAGCTCAAAATAGATCACGCCTCGGATATCCCACCAAATGCACAGCAGTACCTTCATCGGATGCAATCCACCTTTCGACATCGGTTCCGCCCCTTCGTGTGCCTGTTTCCATGTTCTTTTGCGTTGAACATTGTTGTACAGGATCCATTTTTCATCACCAGTCACGAGCCGATCCAAAAAAGGTTCGTTTTTGATCCGTCGAAGCAAAGAAATTGCTGTTGACATACGGTCCACTTTGTTTTTTTCACTCAACTGATGTGGCACCCATGTATCGAGCATCAAAGTGTACCCAACCTTTGTTAAACGACGAAACGCAGTTGATTTGTTGACGTTTAATTCACTGGCAACCTCTTTCGTCGAAATACGTGAGTTATTCGCGAGGTTAAAGTCTCCAGAACGAAATTTCGCGAACCATTTCTTTACTGTGCGGAGTGCTGTAGCACGGTCCAAATAAACTTTGTCAATATCTTTAGTTCCAGCGCCTACTGTTTTTCCTTTGCGGAATTTGTATAACATAATATGACGCATATGATCTTTTTCGTTGTCCATCTTCCATGCGTCTTTTCACTAAGCAACTCAAATCAAACTGAAGTTATTTTATGCTTGGCTTACAGTTCGGACTATCACCTTTCCAACGATATATAATATATATAAATTTCTTTCACGAGCGCCACTCTCAAACGATTCGAACGGCTTCCAGCGGAATCGGGCACGAAGTTATGCACTCATCCAATATTTCTACTTGGATATGGTTGAGACAGAAAATTCGCAGGTATAAAGCGTATTTTTTGAACAAAGAAATATTTTATTTGGACTTTGTTTTTTAATCTGTTTCAACAGATTTTTAGACCAGTGCATTCGCTCTTCAGCGATACCAAGTTTACTGAAAGTGATAGAACTACTTCCGTAGTTTTCTTTTGCCAACGCTTATAAGTCTTTTTTTATGTTTCAGGTCGATTTCAGTCAGTTATAGCATGACAGCGCATTGTATATAAATCTCATATAAATTGCATTTACCAAATATCGAATATTCAAGAGTCGCATGAAAATTCAATATTTACATATTATTCAAGGCTTTATGTTATGCGTGTGTATTTGCTTGTCTCTACTTAAGCCTATTTAATCCTCAAAATGTCTTACGTATTTGCATGAGTATTTAGAACATTATATGGTTGAGTACAACTACATGTGCACAAATCATTATGCATTACACGTGGCAGACAGATTAAAGGATCAATGGAATACAATTCGAAAACTATATGGCAACGCATGGAATAATAACTTTACAAATACAATTAAAATCTGATGGTGACAATAGCGCAACGATAACAGTGATCACCATTCTATGACATGTATTGTAAATACAAAATAGAAAAAATAGTCACATGGTGCGACAAATGATTAAGATTTGCTTATGTTTTACTGAAATTAAAAGTATAAAATATTGAACGATTTTTGTTATTTGTTTCGATGGAAGTTCGAAAACCAGATTTTCGGCATATTTCATTGTTTTATTATCGAAAGGGTAAAAATGCAGTTCATGCATTCCTTTCGGCAATTTCGTTCCACGTTCATGATAGCCTCTTAAAGCCGCTTACGCTTACGATTTTCGCGTAAACAGTAGGCAAAAAGCAGCTGCTGATTATGACAAATCCCCAAGATATTGCAAAATTATTTTCTGTGTTTCACTATTAATTGTTCTTATTGTTTTTTTTCATGGAAAAATAGATTTACTACCAGAGATGCTCAATCAACGGAACAACGCGGTTTCGTTTTGTTAATACGTAACATAAACACAACGAAATGATTTTGATTTGTTTAGGCGACATGCCATCGAAACCAAATGAAATGGTTTATGTTAAAACCGTACAAACTTCGCAATACCGTTATCTTTATAAGGGCTGCTTGCTATTAAATGCACACTTCAATGTTAACGTTTAACTTTACATACATCATCTCGTTTTGGGTGGTTTAACGATAGCATTTCCAAACGTTTCACCCGAATCAATAGAGTTCTTTCGATTAACGTAAATGTAATAGTTATAAGGCTTTTCCATAGCATCGTTAATTACATTTTTCGCAAGCCCGGATTTTGACAGCTTTTTGAATCGTTAGTTAACTCTTTCTGCTCCACTTGAAAAAAGTGATTCATTAAATCATCACATTCAATTAAAACTTTACTATCTTGCTCTGGTTATAATTTTAACAAGTTTAATAACCGTCTGCACTTTATAGTTTATCTAATAGTATCAAATAGTGTTTTCTTTTATGGCTTTCATCTTATATGGTTCGATTTTTCACCTGTCTTCGATAAATTTCCGGTAAAAATTGGATGAGAAGAATTGGAGTGCCATGGAAATACCGCATAATGATATACCCTAGATTATTCCAATATTAGCAAGGACCTTGGCAATTTAAAAAAAAACTCACAGAATGTTAATCGGAGGAGAGTTTTTGACTAACTGCTTCTGCGTTTAATAGCTCTTTTAAATAAAAATAATAATGATAAACCATATAGCTGGTATGGGCATATATTATTTGTATACATATGTATTGTACATTATTACCCGTATATAACAGTGTATTGTAGATAATAAAACGACGAGCAAACTTAAGCGAGGCACGTTTAAGCACTTAAGCGACTCCGATTCAGCTCAGTTTGGTAATAAAATATCCGAAGGTAGCTTCCTTAAGCCTCGCTAGGGAACGAGTAGCTGGCGCACATTGATTGGAGACTGAAGGCGTGGACGTAGCGGGGGGAGTGGCGCTTGGGTATTAGATATTGCGATAAAGAAAGTTTAGGCATTTCGATTGACATGAATGAGAAAGGAATTGTATGACATGAAATGAGAAAATTGAGATACTGGGAAATAAATGGAGGTGGCGAAATTGGCCAAAGCGAATAAACAGTCAGTAACATAAAAGCTAAGAAAATCTTCATTCAATAACATTTTAATACAATATTTATTGATATTTCATATTTTTATTTAAATCAATTGCTCTAACAAGGCTTAGTTCTTTTATCTCTTAAAACTTCTACTTACACCATCCGGATTAAATTTGGGTGATGGACTTGTCGAACAGAATTCCTGTAGCACATCTTGCAGCTTTCTAGTGGAATCTGTAAATAAAATAAATAGAAGAAGATCAGCTTAGGAGAACAACTAAGCGTGTACGGATGCAGCATTAAATATACTACTCACAAATTGGCAGGTAATTATTTTCAGAAGATTTAATGTGATTTGTTATTGCCGAATATTATGACACATTTATAAGAAATAATTCTTCCAAATGCATTGGAAATATGGACGTTAATGTGTGTGTGTCTCGTTCTATGATGGAAGTATGATTAGGAATTGGATTGATGAGAAACGGGATAATAACTCTGCACTTACATTATTTTAACCCTTGTTCTTGCTCGGTTCAAAGCGTAAGCAGGATACAGTATCAGAAGACATACGTCTGTTGGTATCATGCGATGCTGCGATGTCACATGGGCAAATTTAATGAATATTTGAAGTTATGTTCTCCCTTAAGTTTCTAAGCATTTCATTTCTCTTAGAGTGAATATGAATATTATTCTATTACATTCACATCAGTTTATAGAACCATGATTCGTTTATGTCCTCAACGGTGTACTTTGACATATTTAATACCCAAGTTCATACCTACACGTAAATAGAGCACATCAAAGGCATTTGGCTGCATACATACATAAATTATGTGAAAGGTGCCAACTGTGAGCACTTGAATTTGTCATTTTGTTGCTATCAAATGTCACTTTCATGCATAATTTCGTCGCCATCAGTTGAATATGAATTATATACGTGCACAGACAAATGCATATGGACAAAAGTATGGACATAAATAGATTTTGAAATGAACAAAATATCGAAAAATAGACTATGGAAAATATCAGTTCTACTCATAGACATATGTGTGCGTGAGTATGTATGAAAGTGAAAATGTTCGTAAGCCGATACGAACGCCCACAGCAGCGCCACAGCTCACGCATTCACCACACACGAATATTCATAGAAGGGAAAGGAAGTGGAAAAAGCTTATTTGTATTTTCCACATTTGATCCCCGCAGGTCAGCTCGCCTTTTGGCAAAAAAGTCGTCCAGTCGCCTGACTGGCGTGGCGACACCTAACTAATCGCCTACAACTCACTCGTCATACTAAATGGAACTTTGGAGTGTGATAGTGTGTGTGTGTGTGTATGCTTTGTTGAGTTGCAGCAAACAGGATACAATTAACTAATGGAAAAAGGAAATGTACGGGGCCCCGTAAATGGGTGCAAAAGTGGCAGGAAAAAAATAGAGAAGAAATATAAATGAATGAAATAAAATGTAATGAAAAATTAGTGAAAATACCAGATGGCGGAACCCTTCCTTCTTATGCAACATATACATTTACTCGTATGTTCAGAAGAGAGTTGTTTTCGCGAGCGTGCAATTTGACTGTGGGGCTGATTGGGCAAGTTTAATACACTAAAATACACTCTAAATAAATTGAATTGCATTAAATTAGCCAACGCAAGTGACTTTGTGAAACTTGTGGGTTGCGTAAAATGAAAATTCTTTTTTTAGCTCCGCAAATTCACACTAGTAATAGTGAAAAAACTTCCATAGAAGATGTTGAAAACATCCAAAGGATTAAGTAGCATGAGACGGAAGCTTGCAATGATATAATAGAGGCATCGGTGGTTCTCCAAGAAGACACCAGTAAAGCCAATTCTCTTCAAAATTAAAAAATAAATGAGCCATAGTCCGGATGCGAAATTTTATTGCTAAGGTCGAAGAAGAAAAAGTAATACCAATATAATACATATATCGCATACATATATATATGCCTTGATTTAACACATGGAATACCGCGGGTGAGATACATCTGAGTTTCCTGAATCATACCATGAAATCTGTAATTTGAGGTGGGATAAAACTAATAGTAATAAATAAATATACAAACTATAAATCTCAACATTTTCGAACATTTTTCTAAAAGAAACATTAAAAGATTAGACTTATAATATGCGATGCACAGTAAGGAGTTGGTTAGTTTTCTTGGACGTGCGCTTTTGTTAATCGAATGATAGATTTTTCAGTTCTAATTAAAAACAAATTTTACTTAGGTTTATTTTGTTAACCAAAATGGAGCTTTTACACGTTTCGAGACTTTCTGTGGGGCCATTTTTCTGCTGCGAATCAGTAATGCACATAATGAAGTGCAGATATATTTTTCTCGAATAAGAGATGGTAGCACGACCCAAGGTCTTATGTTATATGTCGTGCAAGGAAAATTTGTTGAGCGAAAATTTCACCATCCTTAGCCTTGACAGTTAGGCTCCACACAGTTCGCCCAAATCATATTAATGCTAATGCATATACTTCGAATAAGTAAGTATAGTGTGTACATATGTATGTATGTATTTTGTGCTACAATTTCGACTTAAAATTTAAAAGCTATTAAGTGTGTCCGCAGAGTGGCCATAAGTGTCTGCATTGCTGGCGTAAGTATATATATATATACATATATAAGTCATTGGCATCGATAGTGCAATGAAACAAAAGCAATAAAATTTTATGCCAAACACACAAAACGCGAAACGCCACACGCCACAAATGTACTTACGTCCATACATACATATGTCACCAACAGAGAATACTCGCTAACATAAGCATCAGCAACAGAGCGATACAACAACATGTACAAGAAATTAAACGGAGAGAAAAATATGTAAGTGTGTGTATAGGGTATGTAAGTTGGATTTCATAACCGTTTTAACCATTTTTCGGCCGAGTTTCGACTCCTGCTTGTGATTTGCCGAGACTAATTGATTTGTGTGTGAAATTCTTATGCTGCGAACGAAATAGCCGCGGAGGTAGTAAGACTTTTCCCTTTTTTCCAAAAAAAAAAAAATCTATAGTTTGACTTATGGTAAAAACCGGATTCGAACTCATAACCCGCTGTCGGCTTCCGATTGCATTCCAAATTTTCGAGTTTTAGGATAATTGCAGCAACAAATAACACGGAAACGGAAAAGTAGTGTCAGCAGCTGCTGCACCGGCGAAACAACATGGTTAACCACCAATGCATTGAGCCATGACCGAGGGTTCATAATGTGAGTGTGATGTTGGATTATTGGATTTTAGAGTGAGCACGCACACACGTACACATGTACACACAGATTTCCGCAATTACATATACACATACACACACACGCTCATTCATCTGGGTTAACCGCATTTGGACATGCATTTGACGTTGCTGGCACATTTCCATTGTTAGCAAATTCTTATTACTGAACAATTATAAAGTGATCGCCAATCAACTGCAAGCCGCAGAGAGCGACAGCAAACACAGTGAATGTGGATGTGAGTGACAAAAGTGGTTTGTTCCTGCAAAACACTTGAAATGACGCAAACCGAAAATAACATTTAGAAACCTCAACCAAGCTTTACGCACACAATTTGAGTGCAACTAAGCCGAATGAAAAAGTGCCAGCCGAGCAACAATAACTGAGCGAACCAGGCCAACGACCAATTTATGCCACTCCCATCCCATTAGCTTATAGTAGCTCACACGTACACATCTTCATACATACACAAATTTCTTTGGTTAAACACTCAATCATCACTCAGTTCGTCAGTCTGCTTGCCATTATGTCGGGCGATTGGTCAGTCATGAGTGCTTCAAGCAGCTGCTTGGCTGAGTTCGAAAGCACAGCCGTCCACGCCATTTCCTCAACCCCTTAAGAGCTGAGAACTCCACCGCCCGCCATCCGTCAACTACAACTTCCAAGCCCAATCCCATCACTTGCCACTCGCCACTCGTACGAGTTTTGTAACTCCCTTGGAGCGGATTAACTTTGACGTGGCGTCGACGTGATGATTTTGATTGAGTTTTGTTGTTCTCATACATATTTGCAGTTGTCGCCACAGTTACAGTTGGCCGGTTGGCTGGTTGACATAGCCTTTGGCGTTCCTCAAGCTCAGCTGCCTTACCACCGAAGGGCTATAGCTGCGTCACTTCTGTTTGCTCACACATCTCTGAGTGTGTGTCTATATGTCTGGTGGTTTGCCTTGATGTGAACGGCTGGTGTTGTAAAACTTTTCTAGTGCTTTGATTGCTTCATTCAACATTTTAATGTTTTTTTTTGTTATACCCACGCTTTGTTTGCGCAAATATCGCCCGCTGGAAAACTGAGAGATCTACAACATTTCGTAAAAAAATTTCATTATGGGAGAATTATGCTTAACTGAACGGGAGAGCTTCTTACATGGCTCTTTATTTAGCTCTAAGGCTTGCTTTGTGTGGAAAGATCAAAAGAAAAAATAATACAATCTAATTGTTCTTGAAGAGCGAAGAAGAATAGAATATTAGCAAACAAGCAGGTTGCAAATGAGAACATGCGACTTTTTTGTTCATCACTTGGTTTTGTTAAGAGGGATATTCAGTGCACCATCGGAAAGCATTTGAGAATTCCCTCTTACTTTCAGTGAGAGAATCATTGATTTTAAATTAGGTCGTAACTTAAGAAGAACAATAAAAAAGGATAAAAAATGTTTTTGAAGGCAAAAATCAAAAGGTGCATTTCAAGCTGAAAGAACTTTCTGCTCGGGTTTGGGATTATAAAATGGCGAGTGCTCATTCTCTCTTAGAAGTCATCGGCACTCGATCTCTATATTAACGTTTGCCACACATGCATGTGGGTCTATATCGTTTGCAAACTGTTCGCAATTCTCTCGGGCAGCTTTAAATAAATCGAAACCTGAAATAATCCTAAAAATATTATACAAATTAAAAGAATGAAATAAATCAAAGCAATAAAAGAGCCAATGCATTTTTATATATGTGTTGGTGTCTTTAAACGAAAACACCTTTTTCACAACCGAACTCAGTCACAAGTTTTGAAAAGAGCAATTGCCGCGAGAAAACTGCTGTTGACATTTATGTGATGCGATTTATTTTTAGTTTTCCTTTTAGTTTCGTGATGGCGTGTGATGACGGCTGAATGACGCTGCATGCTTACTGGGCGTGGATGGAGTGCGTGTGCCATGAGGGCGGGTGGCAAATGTAAGTTCATCTTGGATGTGCAAATTTAGCGACGTTAAAACAAAAATAGCATCAGCATATGGGCAGGTATGACCAAGTGTGTGAGTAGTTGGCTCTGGCCACCTGGACACTAGATCGCAAATTCCGCATATTTACGGCCCATAAATTAATTCACAGGTAATTTAAAGCAAAACAGTTTGCCATTTTTTTTTGGAGAGTAATTGAAATCCAATTAATTTCTTTTTCAACCTAATGTATTAAATAAAAAAAGAGCAAATATAAAGTAAGCAATATTATAAATCATTTTCGATTCGCCTTTATTCGAATCTCTGTCTAGAGGTCTCAGAATAGATTTTGTTTCCTGAGGTTTCAAACAGAGATTCTCTAAATTTGTTTAAAATTCAATTTTTTATTTTATTTTAAATTTTCATAGTTACTTCTCTCACGCCAATAACTTCTCTTAACTGAGTAGAATGCCTCGACTAATTGATTTAATTATTTAAACGCCTTAAGTTAGAAAATATTTAGCAGAAGAGAACCTTTTGAAATAAAGCTATGAAGTATTAAACACATTTCTCAATTACAATATATTCTCGAATCCTTTGACCCCATTATTCTCCTTACCTGCGAGAAATAAAAAGCATAATCCAAAGCCACGGGTTAGTTTCTACAATATTTCCTCTGCCATTAAAACGGCCAGGAAGCATTATTTATTTAGACTTCATTATAATTCATCGCCCGTCTTGTCTACAGACTGCATTGTGCACACAGGCAGCTGCAGTGGAAAAATAAATTGTACAATGGAATGAAAAGTGTCAATTAGTGCAACACTCTGTACCCATCCCATTGTCAATCGGATGAAGTAGTTGTCGCTGGAAAAGGAAATTCCAAGTAAAATACAAGTGAATGCAGCCAAGGTTTAGAACATTGTGTTTTCTGTCTTTGGATTAAGCACTTCCTTCATCGCCCACAGTTGCCTCGACCACGGCGCCGTTTGAGTTCTAGCGCTTAAGACCATGAGCCGACTAACACCTTCGCAAAGTAAACAATTGCCTCTGCATTGCTTCGCTGCCTTCTCCCTTTTATCCGTTGGACATACTCCAACGCGCAGTGAACACCGGTTTTATTGGATAGCAACAGTTAACGTAAATCGGCGTTCGTCAACAAAGGATAACGTGCAGCACCTCTCCGCTTCTTCGAGCCGTTGCTATTGGCCGTGCAATGGATTTTCACTGCATACTTTTCATCCTTTCTCCGCTTGCTTTTGTTTATTTATTTTTGTTCACGCTGTCCGTGTTATTGTTGCCGTGCGCTGGGCAATGCGTCGAAGGACACTTTTGTGTGTGTTTGCGTGTGATTATGTTTTCTGCTTGCAGTGATGCAATAGCTGTCTCAAACAGCTGTGCATGAAGGTCAAAGCGCGATATTTCCGCTTGTCTTCCCCGCTCTGAGTGACAGTTTTCTATTTTAAATTCATTCATTTATTTATTTGTCTCTATTTTGTGCAGTTTGCTGCTATTCAATGATTTCACTTTTTTCTTCTTCTTTGCTTTCTGGTGACATATATAGATTTGTATTTCATATGTGCCTATAACAAGTGCCACTCAAAGCCAATTAAATTTATTGTAATGCACTTTAGAATTAAATTTTGCTGTTTGGACATGGTAAAATCACCGATCAGATCAAAAAGGCGTCCTTTTTTGGCCTTCGGAGGTTCCAAGTAAATAAAGTCATTTTCTTTCTTTATCGCTCCGAAGGAAGTAATTTTTGGTTGTATTTTCCTTCAGGTTTGTGATATGGGAATTTCATTATTCCTCCATATGGAGTGATCTAAATTTGCTTCTGGTATTTGCTTACTATACATATACATATACCCCTGAAGTGATTTCCAGCCAAGCTCCTCCTCTTATTTGTGGTTTTACGTCCTGATGTTTTTCCAACAAATGGAGGGAACTACAGTTTATACTAAGCCGCCAAACGGCGGATGGTTTTTCATAAGGGGCTTTGCTTTATGTCAGAGATACACTCAGAGAGGTTGTCATTCCCTGTCGAGAGGCGACTGCCATCAGAAAATTTAGCTTAATTTTTTATTTAAATTAACTTTCTATAACTTTTGTATTTCGACATCTTGATTTGAGCCCTAGCCTTTTGAATGGCAGTACGCGATGCTAACTACTCGGTTACCTGTACGTACTATAACTCATTTATGTCCATATATGTTATCGCAAAAAGCTTTAAGAAGAACCAGAAATACCTTAAAAGCAATTTGTTGAATGGATATTTTGAAATTCTACTCACATGATGCCAATTCTTGTAATTGTTGAAATTCGCGTGGCGACAGCTTGTCCCATTTGTGTGATGTGGCGCTCATGATGCCTGAAAGTATGCAAAACAAATAGATGCGTTCTTATGAGTCCAGCTCGGCAAACCGATTTATTTAAAATGCACAGAGATGAGGAAAAAAAAATATATTTTAAATATATACTAAACGAATATACATGTAATGTGTGTGTAATGAAGACAGCTGAAGCAACCAACTAACTCAGCTACTGACAGCGCTTGTCACACCATTTATCAAGCCGCAAGTAATTGCAGCAAATTACGGTGTGTGTAAAGTATTGAATTGAGTTGAGTGAGTGATGAGGAGAAGTCAAGATGTAAATTGGACTCATGCCCCTACTTAACGCGTTCACACACACACACCGCAAACACACATGCTACAGAGGAAGGAGCTGAGGTCTGGATATCGTGTTGGTAAATGTGAAATGCTAACGCTATTGGCGCCGCATTGTCAACAACCGATGATGCCTAAGTGACTTATACATGTATGTATGTGTATATCTATGTGAGGCACATGAAGGCAGTTAGTCTGACAGCCAGCCAAACAGCCGGTAGCTGCAATGTTACTCAGAGCGCCCACAAAGTGTACATTGCTAATGACCAAAGGGAAATGAGCTACTATAAACACATACACACCAACAGACAAGTGCGCATACAGTAACGAGCGCTTGATTCCAGTAAAGATGATGAAAAACATTTGGATGCACACACACTAAACTCTCACACAATAGACTCACACATAGCTACCTTCACAACTGAATTGTATTAGTGTTTGTTTATGGACCCTCTAAGGAATACCAACAACATGAATACATACATACGTGCATACCAATAGCTGTCAGCAACATTCGTTTGGCATTATGCCAGCAGCCTTATACCAACACCATTTCGCGTACTCAATTAAAATTGTCAACATTGTCATTATTGACGTTAAGCCGCCTAATGCTATGCTTTCAATTTGTGCAGCAGTTGACTTTTTGCTGGGGAAACAGAAATATTTGTGAGAGTGTGTAGCTGCACTTGGATGTTGCTTTCAATGAAGACTCCAGTTTTGCGACTAGTAATAAAAATGTAAATGATAACAAACTAGTTACATTTGGGTGATCCCTGAGCCAGAAGCAAATTAGATTGGTGATATAATTAACTAACAAATTATACTATTAGATAATAAATTCACACCTTTTCTCAAACTAATTACTAGTTTCCTTTCATTACTTTTATTTGAGAGCGAATTGAGTGGGGAAACGCTTCTCACAGTTATCTGTGTGATGTAAAGTGGAAACTAAGCTCAGGGCATGAGCAGTATTTAGTCTAAAATTAAGACCAAGTCTTTTGTTTTATTTGGCTTAGTTTAGTTTAGTTCTAATCAGGTCAAACTTTGTATTTAAATTTAACTGTCATTTGATTAAAACTGTTTATTCTAAAATCGTTTTCATTTTGTTTCAACTTTAATTTCCATATACGAGTTAACGAATTTTTAAAATTTAAAATACAACTCATTCTTAGGACCTCCATTCTCCCTTTGCCATGCCCATTCTCCAGCTCATTAGTGCGTCATCAGTTGCTGTCATCCACAGAGCAATTATTAAATGCGGATGCTGCGGTGGCGTCCCTTTGAGTAAATGGGTGTGTGATGAGGAGAATTAGCTTACTTGGGCTTGATGTGTAAATGTAAAATGAGGCGCGTGGAAAACAAAAGCTATCAAATACATATATATATATATATATATATATACATATGTATATTGATTTTATTTAAGTTACAATAACATTACTGTTGTTGTTATTTTGTTATCATCATAAGTTGGTATTACATACAACAATTGCACATACACGTACATAAATCTAACAAAAATATATAGCAGATATGTATAAAGAGATCATTATATGTAATATGTCTATACATTTTGTTTTTGTTTATGTCCCCACTTCTCCATTGCCCACGCGTATCAATATATACACTCGTACATATATTTTTATTAGTATTCTTTCTTGACGCTCTGCCACTTGTTGTTGTTATGCTTCACTCGGAAAATTTATTATTATCATTTTATTCTATTTTCTTTGTTTCTTTTGCTTCCATTTTCTTTTTGTTTTACTTCATTCTTTGCAGATCTGTGCAAAATTTAATTTATAAATCTCTCGTCTTATTTTATTGGCGTGGAATGTTCTTCAGTTCAGACCCTCCTCCAATGTTTTTGCTTTATTTTATATGCAGGTTTATAGATTACCTACTTGTGGCGTTGGCTGTGGCCAAACAGATTTTGAATATGTCCTATATGTAGATATGTCTTAATATTCAAATCATATGACCACAAGTTGTTGTTGGTATAGATATGTGAGTATGTGCATTTGCCTGTTCTTATAAATGTTTTTGTATTTTAAATAAGTATTTTAATTAAGAAAATACAAGGTTAGGTTTGAAGAACGAGAGAGCGTTTTTATTTTCGGCGAATCAGGGAGAAGGGGTGTAAATCAAAAACTGCAAGACGATAATTTTTTCAGATCTTTCCATCAGATTATTTATGTAATCCGATAACTGACCGAGCTCTTCCTCCAATTTGTGGTGTGTAGTAAATAGCTTATGTCATAATTACACTCGGAAGCTCGACATTCCCTGCCGAAGCCAACCCAACTTTTCAACAAATTCACTTTGATATTGGTCGGACTAGGAATCGTACGCAATGCTAACCACTCGGCTCAGTTATATATTCTTTACATTTCAGTCGTCAGCTCAGCAGAGGCTCTAATCACCCAGGGATAGGTCTGGGTTGTAGGATGGGTAATTTAAAATATTGAAGACTGCTTTACGCATGCAGGGCAGTAACACAATGGGGCTCTTGTGGACGGTTGCAAAATTTTGTACAACCAAAAGTTGCCGTTCATTAGTCTCATTCATTTCTAATTTTTACTCCCGATTACGTCGCTGGATTTATAATATTTCAAAGACTTATTGTCTAATAATAATAACCAAGTCTCGTGTTAATGCTAATTGTGAGTCGCTGAACACTTTATGATACTAATGAGCTTAATCACTCTGATTCAACTCTCTCACTTGGAGAACTAAAAAATGCTCCCTCGTACATATTATTATTAATTTTTTAATTCTTAATCTTAGGTTCCCAATTCTTTGCGCATATTTTTGTTACTTGTATATGAGCGAGCCTAATCTTTGCCTCGTGCTCCGGTTTTGACATTTTTCATATTGGAACGGTATATTTTACTGGGCTGCGATGAATATTTTTACAAAGTGAATTGTTTATATCTCACAGTGTCAGCGGGGATTTTTCTGTTTTTTTTTTTTTGGAGAACTCAGAGCAGTCGCCTCACAGGGCTCTGAAACCTTGATACAATTTTAATTTTTCCGAAAACAGTTCTATGGCCTTTATAGCACACGTTTTTAAATTTCCTTTCTTTTTGTCCTTATGTACTCGTATGTATATTTATGTACATATGTATGGTGACAAAGTTCAAACGTGACTTCTCAAGTGATACCATGCACCAACAAATAAATACACTTAATTTTATTGGCGTGAGTGCAATTTAGCCAATCACACAATCAATTGCTTTTCCTTAAGTGGATGATTTAAGCTTGTTAAGGGTAAATGTTTATTATTTGCAATAAATACTAATTTTTCCGATATTAATGTTGTTAACAATATCTAGACATGCAATCGTGTGACCTAACGACGCAATCAGAAAATCATTTGAAAAAAATAAAATCAAATCGATATAAATGCTGTAAACTCGAAATCAGCGGATTTTTTTGTTGAATTTTACTAGCCAAGAATTGCTGATTTTCATTGAACTCAGTATTTGCATATACACGTATGTATATGTGCATTTCTCATACTTGCTATTTCGTACAATCTTTCTCATGCACTTTTGCTCTCTTTGGTTTTAGCACGAAAATAACTTCATGTTGCTGTTGGACACATAAAAGCCAGAGTGGGGCACTTCAAGTCAATGACAAAATATGAAAAGTGTCGTGACGTGAAGCGATATTATTTTATAGCAGATAAATCGCACATACATCTAGATGTACTTAGTGCTGAATAGCAAGTGCGCCCTAATGGCTGAGTGTATATTTATGTGCGACGTCCAACAAAAATGTGCATGTGGGCAATATTATACATTTCACCATTCTTCAGTTATGGAATATTGAAAATGCACAAACTTAATGCTCGAATTTGGTGTTTACATAAGCGAAAAAACTCATTGGGAACTTAAAGTGTTGGGAAAAATGTTATCGCGACTATGTAGCACAAATGTAGCACTTTTAACTTTAAAGTGTTTTCTGTCTTTATGTCATTGACTAATTATAGAGTTAATTGGTTTTATAAGAAAAGCTCTGCCGTGGCGTATGAGCAACCTTTTCTTCAAGTACGGGAAATTCCATTGGAAATTGGCAATCATTTCTTTAATAAACTAATCCATTGAAATGAATATCAGCAATCTGCCCTAAGTAATTTTAATATAAAAACAGTTCCGATATTTATAGGATTTTTAAATTAAAATGGATATGCATTTCGTGGCTCAAAAGTACAGGACTGCATTTTGACACCCTGTCCAACTTAACTGTAAAACTAGGCATTTTATGTTTAAGTTAAAGGTCAGACAATCATGAAAATAGTTCACTAAATAACCACAACCACATCCATCCATCTCAAATACCAATTGAAGCTAGCTGACCATTCACAACCCCATATATATATATACGTCAGTGGGGGGATAGATCAACAAGAAATATATATCTAAAATTGGCGATTTTTAACCGCTGAAGCGATTTCCGGTCGAGCTCCTCGTCCAATTTGTGAAATTCCTTCGAAGGAGTTGGCATTCCCTGCTGAGAGGCGACCGCAATTTCTCACTAGGGGATACATAAATAAGAAAAACAGTCGCACTTGGGGCTACTAGAACCCTGAAATATCTGAGGAGAAGTCATTACATATTGCTCCGGAGGTGTGAAAGATTTTTACTTATTATTATTCTTATTATTGTTCCGGCCGCTTAATCTCTCGCACTGGCGAAGTCAA